TGTTTCCCTTTGACACAATACTCACAAAACTCCAAGTTGCAAGCCTTTAATCCTTTTAACAATCCTTGATCTGATAGAGTTTTCAAGGATTTTCCTCCAGCATGTCCCAAGCGCATGTGCCATAGCTTGGTTGCTTCTGCCTCTTTGTCGTCACTAGATGTTATTGTCACTGTCCCAATAACTGTACTGCCACAATAGCGGTACATATTAGTATTCTTCTGATTAGCCTTCATTACCACTAGTGCACCGGAGCATACTCTCATCACTCCATTTTCNATTGACACTTGATGTAGATTCTTCTTGTTTATTGTCTCTCATATTTGATACAAATATTATTTAATAGCTGACGACACAAATCAAGATTATTTCCTTTCTGATGTAGAAGATCAGACTAAGCTGCAACCACAGAGCATACTCAGACAGAACCTTGACTCAGTTACCAAGATAAATCTTTTCTGATGTGGAAGATCAGACTATGCTGCAACCACAGAGCATACTTAGACAGTACCTTGGCTCTGATACCAATTGTTGCGGAAGCCAAATGTATATAGTGTGAATAAGTCACAACTACTATACCAAAAATTATGACAGCCACCAAATAATAAATAAGACAATAAAGGGAACACCAGAATTTACGAGGTTCGGCTAATTTTGCCTACTCTTCGGACACAACCAATATTTTATTTCACTCCAAAAATACAAGTGAAATAATACTAAAAAGAGAAGATACAAATGCCTTAAACAGATGAGAGGGCAAATGAGATGTGTATTTAAATCCTAAACATTAAGCCTTCTTTTATAGGGGAAAAATCCCCCCAACTCTTCTTTTCCCACCGATGTGGGACAAACATTTCTGTCAAACTTTAACGGAGACTACATTACTGCAGAAATATTATGACAAATCCAACAGTGAGGTAGGGGTAATGACTTTTGACTTTCGATTAGGATAAAACTCGTCTGATGTAATTTCTTAGGTAGTCTAATATGCAAAATTTTAGAATAATTAAATGAAGCGTCAATAGAACTGGTCAAATTGCCATCTATGGAACTAGTCAAGACTCATGGGTGGATCAAAGGGGAAAGTAGGATAAGCAGAAAAGGCAAGATAAAATCTAGTATAACAGGCTCAAGGAAAACCAACAGCTTGAGCAAAAACAAAAGACGACTTGCAATCTCTAACAAGGCGAGTATAAAGCTCGATAATTTCTCTCTTTACCTGCTCCATGACCACTTTTAAGTCTTTCTATCCCTTTTTGGAAAATAAGTCCATTTATATATTAGGAATTAACAGAACAAACACTCTATGTGCCTGTTTGAATTTTTGTACAAATGAATATATAAACTAAAAGTAAATTAATGGCAAAGAAAACGTAATTGGTGCAAGGAAAAACATGCTCAAAGTTGTTTAGTACAGGATCAATGTTATTTGAGAGATAAAGCAGGAGAGACAGAGATTGGGAATTAAAGGAGTGCAAGAAAAAAGAGTTGGACCATGAGCTGGTAAATAATATTATACTAACCATAATTGCTTCAATAAAATTCTTCCTTATTTAGGATATAAAAGGGCATTAACATTGCACGGAGCCTCCATCCTATGAGACACTATTTCTAATCTTCTAACACTTCTTTTGGCACAATTTTACAGATGAATAGCAACAATGTCCAAACCACACAAGTTTCAAACAATCCAAGTTCTTTTTCTTTTCTAAATATGATATGATATTTTCTCTACTTAATGAATTTAGTACTCAAAAAGTGTCTTATTATACTACCACCAAAATAATATTCAATTGTGACATATCCTTAAACTTTGTATACCACCAAATGTCAGAAACATAAGATAGGACAAAAAGAGTATTAACGTAATATGAGCAGTGTTTTGAAAAGCGTTAAGCGCAAAAAAGCGACAAGGCCTCGCTTCACAGAAGCAAGAAGCGAAGCGCGCGCTTTTTTTGTTGTGAAGCGCAATTTTACACATAAATAAAAAAAATATAATAGGCATAGATAAATGGCTAAGAACTCATTAAAAATAACATATTAAGCAAATGTTTCAAAACAGAGCATAAAGAGCACTTTTAATAGCAATTAATTCACACAAAAAAAACAGAAAACAGAGCATAAAGAGCACTTTTAATAACAGAAAACAGAGTATAACAAAAGAAAAAGAAATCGTTTAGGGCAAAAAATGAGCGCTTAAAAAGTGAAAAAAATTGAAAGAAGAACAAAAGAGAAGAAGAATAACAGAAAAAGATAGAAAACAGAGCATGAAGAAGAAGAAGAAGAAGAAGAAACTTACTGAGATCTGGAGATGAAGTCGTCGCTGAAGTTCGCCGGACTGGAGAAGAAGACCTTCGTATGTTTTGGTATCAGATGCCTTCTGCTCGTATGTTTATTTACCCAAATTTTTTAAAAAGTCCTAGTTGATGCCTTCTGCTCGCTTAAGCAAGCTTTTTCTCGTTTTTTCTAACGCGACGCTTCTCGCTTTTCTAATGTGAGTCTCCTTTTTACAAGAAAAGCGCTACCATTAGAAGCAAGCGCTTTTAATGTAAGAAGAAAAGCATGAGTGAAAGAAAAATGTAAGAAGACATTAGCTACTTATACGCCACACATTGGAAAGCATGAATTGGGACGACGATGAGTTGAAAGCTAAATACATGTTCATTGTTTTATCTTTCGTTTTGGAAATGGAACAACTACTTTAAATAGTAAGTAGTACTATGTATTTCCTTCCCTTCTAACAATAAGAAATTATTTTCCAAACCACATGTTTATACACACAGAAGTAAAAAGCAATTGCTGAAAAAAGTTTATTACGAGTCATCATCTAACCTATGAATTGAGGAGCAACAGTACCAAGAGTAAACTTGGAAAATTTCAATGATGCCAAAATCATAGGTCTATATTGTTCCAAAATTGGCTCCACACTTGACCTTACCAATTCTGATGCTTCCTGAATAAGAATTACCAGAACCAACTCAATTAACCAAAAAAATAATAAAAGGAAAAAACACAAATATTAGAAATTTAAAAAAGAAATGCTGACACCCTAACAAAAGACCAAATTGGACTAACCTCATCTACATAAGGCCAGAGCTTTTTAAGATGAGAATTATGCCACTTCAACTGTAAGAGTCAAAAACATGAAACAAACATTAAAAAAAGACACTTTGTTTTCACAAAAACATTAATCACAAATATGATAAGGAAACATTAAGTAAAGATAAGTTTAAACACACACACACACTGACCTTCTGCTGATTGGAGAAAACAACCCAAGAAGGATACTCGTCAGGTGTAAAAATCTTTCTGGAATGTGGAATCTTCCTGTCACGACCCATTTTCTGAACAAGCCGAGACCAGCACTCGATCACTAAACATGACCGAGCGAACCATCTCTGCTTATCAAACCTATTATAACTCCAAAATTTATATGCAACAAAGCAATACTATAACCAAATACTTTTGATTAATTCAAATATTTAAGTAAATCAACTTCAAAGCTTTATTCGTAGTAACTACTGAATTACTGCTAAGTTATTATAAAATAACATCTGAATCTCAACCCAATGACTATGTCTATGAATCCTCTACTGATAAACTGACGCACTGCTCAGGACACGAGATTTCCTAGCCAGTTCTCTAAATAAACAAAGAAATAGCTAAACGAAAATGACTTTAAGAATACTCCACGAACAAAAGCGGAGCTCACCAAAATCACTGGAAGGGAAGGAAGTCCTAACTCGTAGCCTGCTCGCCTGCAAATCCGGTTCCTACGTTGTACCGCAGACCAACGTAGATTCCCAAAAGAGAACGTCAGTACCATCCACTGTACTCAGTGAGTCTCAACAACATGGGGAGAAACTTTAATAACATATACATTACGAGCAAAGGTTCTAAATGCATGTAAAACATAAAGCTTATAAGAATAATTCTAAAATAATTGCATAATAGCAATTTATGAATATCCTAAAAGAAATTCTTTTCTTTTTCTTTCTTAAAAAAAAATACTTCACTTTATACTTTGGGAGTTCCAACTATCCTGACTTAATTCTGTCTCAGTCACCGTGTGATCGGCACGGGTTCGATCCCAACCTGATCGAATAGGCCCAATCCACGAGGTGCCACTCGCTTCATGGTTCTCAGCGCTCATGTATCATACCTTAGCATGGCTAAGTAAATTCTCAGCAATGAGACCCTCGGCTCGTATGCTCCCTACTTTGACACAAGTAGTTTCGGGAAGTCAACGCCTTGGTCAGGACCCTCGGCCTGGACGATGACCCCTTCTCAGAATAAAGGATACTCCCCAAAAATCTTTTCTTTCTAAAACTTCTTCTTGTGACTTTTCAAGTCTAAATATTTTCTTTATAGAACATTATGCACATGCTCATATTTGTGTCCTTAAATGTAAAGCATGGCATAAGAATGAAATAAACATATAAAAATATTTCTAAAAATTCTTTCTTCTTCATAATTTTCAACATGAAAATAACATATAAGAATAACACAAAAATCTGAAAATTTAAGCACATATAGCATAATAGATCATCTAAACTTTTGCTAGAACAATTCTAAATTAATGGGTACTCACTCGCTCTAATTAAATAAAGATAAACTCTTTTAAGCAATTCATCAAACACCTTGTATGCGTGCTTTTGTGAGTTAAACCACTTTAGTAAAGGGTTATATCAACTCACCTCAAAACTTCTCGAGCCAATACGTAGTCCCAGTCAAATTGACACCAGTCAACCAATCGATTCTACAACAACCAGTATATTTTAATCAATTTTAAAGTACTACACCTAAATATGAAATTTATTGTTGATATAGAGGAAGAAGGGAATTAGCTATTCAATTCTTACATATTACTACTTTAGGATAATTGAGAATAGGGAATTTTATATACCTGAATTTAAGAATTAGTGATTTGTAAAGAACCCTAGAATCTTTCCGTATTATCTGCGTGAAATATTTCCTGGGTTTGCTGCCTCTATTGCGTTACTCTCTATTCTAGTCTATAGGATTTTTTTCCTGCTTTCGTTACTCTCTGTTCTAGAGTGAACAGTAGATTTTTATGTGCAAAGGAACCCCTTTTTTGGTCCCAACAGCCCTTTATGGGCTTTTAGGTTCACGTTTTCCCTTCTTTCTTTTTTTTTAAATTTATTTTTCCTTTTTTTTTGGTTTTAACTTAACTAGTATTACTTATACATAACATACTTTTAATATTTAATAA